GCTCTGAAGAGAGGTTAGGGATAAGTCAAAAGATTACTGACTGTGGTCACTGAACTGAAGAAGAATACCACAGAAAAGAACAGCAGGGATGTCCATCTTTCCTTCTGCTTTGTACTGGGACTCACTGTGTAGCCCAGACTGGCTTCCAACTAGATCTTCCTGCCTCAGCCTTCAAAGCAGCTGGGATTACAGGTATGGACGACTGAACCAAGCTGGCACTGTCACTTCTACAGGGCCAAACAAAGGAGTGCTAGGGATGTTGTCATCACACCGTTCAGTGGTGCACAATGGGTGGACTGGCAATTAGATCTTAGAGAGCTTTTCAAGGATGATTCCATCTAACTCTCGACGCCAGAATCTAGGTTGTGATGGGCTGAGCAGCGTGTGATACCCATATAATAACCTCTGCCATTCCTAGTGATTATGCTCACAGCAGAATTCTACGATGTCTATTCTGATTACATTTGACATTCCTGGTGGAAGTCTCATTAGATAGAAGAGAAGCAGAACTTTTCATTGTTTAAATGTCTCTTGATAATTTGCCTGCATGTATGTCTGTGTGTGTCGGATCCCCTGGAACGGGAGTTATAGTCATGAGCCACTATGTGGGTGCTGAGAACTGAACCCAGGTCCTCTGGAAAAGCAGCCAGTGCTCTTAAGCACTGAGGCATCTCTCCAGCAACAGAACTTTCTAGTAGATCCTTTAGAACCAAACTGATGAAAATTCTTGAGGTTGAACCCAGGGCCTGTACATGTAAGCCAAGTAATCCTGAGCTACATCCATATTTTACCCCTAAATTTAAAGGGGTAAAAGACTTATACAATCTGAAAAGAAACCATAGTCCTTGACTCTAGTATTAATATGAAGAGAAATTCATGGACCAATTCTAACCAATGTCAAATCACATGGTTTAGTTTTAGTGTTTTTGAAACAGGGTCTTATATAACCCAGGCTGGTCCTGAACTCATGTAGTTAATGACTTGGAACTTCTGATCCCTCTGCCTCTACCTCCCTCATGCTGGTTTACTGGCCATGCATTACATATGGTTTTGAAATGTGTTTTAAATGGAAAATGTGTAGAAAGATCCTGTCTCAAAGAATTAAAAAAAATTAGCATGTATTTATTGACAGCACCACAGAATGAGTGTCCATGGTGCGGGCTTACAGTGGGAGATCAGTACATCTGAAAACAAAAATGTCTGATTCAATTTTATAGTCTTTCGTGTTGGGAATTTATTCATTCAGCAGCTGGACAGAATCTGCAGGTCACATACTTTGACTCACAATCTTATGTTCTCAAGCTCTATCAAGATGGCAAGTCTGATTTAGTGGTGACACTTTTTTATGAATACAGATATTAATGAAAGCCTGATATGGAAAGTCAGCAGTACAGTACTCAATCATAGCTGAACCTAAAAAAGATGGGTCAGGGCTGGAGAGATGGCTCAGTGGTTAAGAGTACTGACTGCTCTTCCGGAGGACCTGGGTTCAACTCCCAGCACCCACATTGTAGCTCACAACTGTCTGTAACCCCAGTTCTAGGGGATCCGACACTCTCACACAGACATACACGAAGGCAAAACACCAATGCTTGTAAAATAAGTATTAAAAAAAAAGATGGTTCGGTTGGTAGAGCGTCTGCCACAGAAACACAAGTTCAGATCCTAACATCCACATAAAAGGCCGTGTGCACCGGCATCCCCAGCATCCGGGAGGTGAAGACAGATCTCTGGAGCTGTTTTGCTGGCCAAGTTTAGCAATGGAGCCTGTCTCAAAAGGTAATGATGAGTGAGTGAGGAAGGTACTTCTGGCTTCTACACCTACACATGCATGTGTACTGGTTCACACTTGTCATTCTAGCACTTGGGAGGCTGAGGCAGAATTGCCACCTGTCCTGGGACAGCCTGAGCTAACAGGGAATTCCAGGCCAGACTGCTATAGTGAGACCCTGTTTTTATCAGCTTGTAAGTCTAAGTTCTGAATGAATTTCTGAACTTGAAGTATTGGTGATTTCTCTCTTGGGAACCAGGGTGTCAAGACAGGGAAACATATTGGACATCAGGGTACAGAACCATTGGGTTCCTGTTAAGGTCTGACTGCTTAATCAATGCTGGGAGAGTAAAGATTTTTGGCTTGTCAGCTGAAACAGTGCCACTGTCTTGCCACTGTGGACTTCCAACTCCAGAAAGGAAGGATTCATTGCTGTTAAGAAGGCATGGCATTCTTCAATGTACCATCAAAGGGAGAAGACATACTAATCTGGAGAAAACAAAATGGCCCACTGCTCAGGCTGGTCAGCATTAGAACATATTTGCTCAGGGCTACAGCTGGGTCTATACTGCTGGTTGGAGTGGTCTCATGGCCAGATTCACCACCTGTTTCAGTCTGTTAGTTCCTACACAGATCAGAATCTGGACTAAAAAGCAAAATCCCTCTGTCTATGCATGCACACGTACTGATGATTGGAATTGGTTAAATATATTAATGAATGCTACACACATCAAAAAAGGTAAATAAAGGGGAAAAACCCCAAAGAGCACAAAGTGAGTGTGGTGGGCACACCTGTAATCCCAGCACTACGGAGGATCACGATGAATTCCAGGCCAGCCTGAACTCCATAGCAAATTTCAGACTAGCTGCAGCTACTTAGCAAGACCCTGTCTCAAAAACTTTTAACTGTGCTGGGAGTTGACTCAGTGGGTAAAGGTCTTTTTTTGTTAGTCCTTAAGTCCCAAGTTAACCCCTGGAAGCCACGTAAAAGCAGAAAGAGAACTGACTCCACTAAGCCATCTCAAACTTTCGTATGGACCACAGCATTTGTGCCCCCCCCCCCCCCACACACATCACTGAAATAGACAGGGATACTAAGCTTCATCTTAACTTTCACATTATGTCTCCCATATGACAAACATAAATGACAAGACCCAATACTCCTCTTCACAAATACAAAACACTGACAACTAGAGTATCCGGTCAAATGGGCTTGTAGCAAACGGTTCATCCTTTTGAGCACTGTGAATGCCGAAGACAGTGTATCACAGATGTTGCTAGCGGCAGGTTAGGTTTGGTCCTTTCATCCTGAAGTATGGTCATCCACGGTGCACACTTGTTAGGAAAAAGGGCCCAAAGCTGTCGCCATATTTCACAACTGGCAACACGTCCAAATGGACCGAGTTCGACACAAACACTGAAATGCGGTTTCAGGAGTCCCGGGCCCTACAGTTCTCTGCAATGTCACTGTAATAGACTCTCCGGTCCCTTTCTACTCAGTTTCCATTGTCTTGAAGCTGTTTCGTATTGTTCTCTCTGCTGTGATGTGTCAAGAAATCAGTCTTCTGTCCCTCACTGAGATCTAACAGATAGCCAGCTACACTTGAAAGGTTTTTTTTATTGCCAAATTTAAGACTGACCATATTGTAAAAAAAACTCAGCTGTGTCCAGTTGAAGATGTACACAGTGAGGAAGACACCATGCTGTTAGGAGCCAGTGTGGGACAGCGGACAGGCTCCGCCATGCAGCCCGCACGCCTCATCCCCTCCCTCATCCCGAGTGCTAGGGTGTGCTCTAGCACAGCAGCCCAGGGCTTTGCTGTAGATGTCTTCCAGCACTTCAGTACTCCAGAATTTACTAACTGCAGAATGACAATTATGGCAAAGACTAAACTCTAAAACTAAAGAGTTCTTGTTTTTTGAGACAGGGTCTGTCTTGGCTGCCCTGAAACCTGGTATTTAGACCAGGCTGGCCTCAACCTCACAGAGACCTTCCTGTTCCTAACTTCAGGGGAATTAGAGTCATAAGCCGCCATGCCAGGCTCAGTTCTAAAATCAGTCAGTCATAAATCCAATAATTTTTCTTTGACAGCTCTCAAACCCTGGTCTATCACAACAAGAAGCTCACAGCGCATTTCCTCATAAGGCTAAACTTAAACTTGACTCTTCCAAACTGTCAGTGTCAAAACAAGCTTCTTTAAATATTTGCACATATATAGTACATGATTTATCAATTTTCCTTCATGTACTAAGCAAGGAGATAAAACGTTGGTAACTATGTTGGTCCTAACTCTTTAAAAGTAACAAGACTCAATGTGAAACAAAAATGTTTGGCTAATACTGCTTTAGCCAAGATGACTGTCAACTATCTTTTATACATCTAGAACATTCAGTGATGGAATCTCCCAGCCCCCAAGCAGCCCCATTTCATCTTTGGAAAACTCAGAACTGTTCTTTAATCTTAAGTGTTCACAATCATTCCCTCTTGGAAGCACATAAAACACATCTTAATTCTGTACCTGACAGTTCACGATGACATTTGCTCCCTGCCTCCCATCACCAACCTGAAAACTCATTTCTCTAGGGAACTGGAGTTCGGTGGCTATTCCGAGTTCCTCTGCTCTACGACTAACTCTGCAAGTTGGGTGTGGTGGATGACAGCAACCATCTTGGCATTCAGAGGCTGGGACATAAATAAAGAAGGACCTTGAGAGTTTGAGGTCAGCCTACCCTACAGTGAGGCCCAGTAAGGAGGGAAGGAGGCAACGTAAACTGCTGTATGCATTCTCTATATAAATAAATTTCAAAGACTTGAAACTTATAATCTTATATATTTACTTGTAATCAATTTGTCTAATATACAGTATATGCGGGATAGTGTTTCACCTTTGATTTTCAACCCATTTCCAAGAGAATTCACCAATGTGAATTCGAAAGCCTACAAAAATTCTAAAAGGTAAGTATAGCACATACAAATCACCGCTGTCTATTAATGAAAGCAGCCCTGCAAAAGGACTGTGAGGTAGTCTAATTCTTTATGCACTTCCATACAAAAAACGGACAAACAGAAAAGCCTCATCAGACTCTACAATTCTAACTTGGAAAGTCCAAGTACAAAGGCATTTGAATGTTCCAAGTTTACAAAGGTGTTCCCCTTGCCCCAACAAGTCTAAACCAGCACACCTGCAAATAAATCAGAATTAAATATTAATAAAATTCACAAAGCCAGAAGCAGTTTAGTGCTCACAAGTTTATATTTTAAGTTGATAAAGATTCTTGTGTATTTTCTAAATACACAGACAAACAGGTTTTGGAGGTTTACATACATGTCTCAGGACACTTATATTAGGTAGGTAAATTACATTTAAAAAAAAAAATTGGTCTTTGTAAAAGCTCTTCCCAGAGAGCTTTTACAAACAGCAGGCAGAAAAAGTGTTCTGTTTACAGTGTTTAAGATGCTGATTCTCCCACATCATAATGGCCTCAATCATCCCTTTCCTAAACCCCAAATTTTGTTCTTAATAGCTAGTGTATTCCAAATGTAGTACCTAGATACCCTAAAATTCAGGGCTAGAAAACATCTTTGAAAGTGTGCTTGTCCCTAACATCTTTTAAACTACCTTGTTCAATTCACTTGAAGACTGGATACAGCAGGGAAGGAACAAAATAAACAATCCTATTTTAAATCCTAAATTGACTAAGAAAACATCTGTCAGTTCTAACTGTGTAGATTAGGTACCATAGTTAAGCTTAAGGATCCGGGTGACTGAACGGCACAAAAACTGAGGCTTACATCTAGTTCTCCAGATTAAAAAACCATCCTTTTAAAAAGTGAAAATGTCACAGCCCACTAGTAACACCGACTATAATGAGGTGTGTTTAAGTCAAAGTGACAAGAACAGCTCTAGCAGAAGACTAGTGTGGTAAGGGTGCTCACTGGGGACAGAAAGGATACAAAATTCCTATGCAGCCATTTTATAGGGAGGATATAAATTTACAAAAAAGGTTGTTTTATGAGGCACCAATAGAGCCTCCTAAAAAGAGCCGGGGCTTCAGAATCAGACCTCACCAAACCCAGATCTGGTAAGCTGTGGTAATTCGGCAAATGTCTGAGTTTTTCTGAGCCTTTATCTGAAAAGTAGAATAGCACCTAGAGACTAGAAAAAATAAGGCAGACAACACAAAAGTGTAGGCATACCAAAAAAGTGTGGGAGCTTCTGAGTCCTGAATCAGAGGAATGATTCTAAACCTCTCATGCTGTTCAGAGAATGCTCAAAGGACAAACCTTACGGACTTAAGTTCTCAGAGCTTGTCATTACTTCCCCTTTGATACTCTAGTCCCCACAGTCCTCGAACTTCCTCACTTCTCCCTTTCTGCGAGCTTGTACTTTTTCTCTTGGCTCACATCTGTACTAAACTACTTGGTGTGCTCTTAGTATTCTAGGAACTGCAGTGAGTTCACCCGCTCTTCACCAGGATGGCTCCACTTAAGACAGATGGTGTTTTGCCCCCCAAATTCAAAACTTCTGGTTATTGTCCAGTGTCCTCTTCCAATACTGCACACCCCCAAGCTCCTGATCCCTAGGGTGCTACAATTTAGCAACTTGTCTAGTAAATAAGAAAAAAATGAGAGTTAGGAACCATGACAAATGAGGGACCACATGGAAGTGTGTCTGGGAGAAATAACACATGATCTGAATTTATGACATGGTATTACCACTGTGGAATATGAAAGTGTATGCTCTTCCCCTTCATTAAAATTAAAAACTCTAAAAATATTTTATTTAAAATATAAATTACAAGAAAAACTTCACCAAATGTACAACATAACTCTGTCAGACTTCCAGACAAAATTATGAGTATTCAATCCATTACCTTTCTGAGACCAATCAAAAGTTCTTAAGCGATTTATCAACTTCCTGAAGTTGTATTGTCAGAAAAGGAATATACTTAAAAAAATAGAAACGTCCAGTAGTATACCTTAGTACTAAAACTATTTTTAAAAAAAAAGATCTAGAAGGGAAAAAGGCAATCCCTCAAGATCATGAAACAAAATAACTTAGGCAGTCAGCAAGTAGAAAAATCTGTCAATTCTGTTTCTGGTAAAGTGTTTACTTACTTCAAGGAACTTTTATATAGGCTGAGGCAAATATATATTCAAGAGTATAAACATTTTTTTCCTTTGGATTACCTAAAAACAAACTTTTTAAAGTATACTTCAGATGACTAAAAATATAGCCAAATCTGTCACAACACGACATAAAAGGCAATGGACAATTATAGAATATTTTAAATTAACAGTAATAAGTCATCTACATCAAACCTGTTTCCAACTAAAACCAAAACAAAAGCACAACAATCCCATAGTGTACCAAATGTGTATTTCAATTCACTGTATGCAATCTAACAAAAATTTGGTCATAATTTACCAGATATACATAAATGATTTAAGTAATAAAAGAAATTCTTTCTGTTTCAAGGTAAGGTCATATCTTGAGTAAAATAAAGTACATTAAGAATGTAAAGCCAAGTCCAGTTTCTATGCAATAAGTGAACTACTGTCTAATAAAGCAGATTTAGGTGATTTTTTTTAAATATATATATTTGCTCTTTAATATATATTTATATATAGACAGATCTACCGATTGTAAACTATGGTTTATTTTAAAGGAAGGGGATAAATGGGATGAAAGAAATCTTTATACTATACTTACATATTCACAAAGCAGAACATTTTAGGTTTAAAATACTTTTTCATTCATAATATTTCTGCCCAACTATGTCTACTTTGGACTTTACTAGAGTTACATTTTACTCATTTGTTTCAAACACTGAGAATAAGGTGTACTCTTCATTTCAAACAAAAATCAAACCCAAACTACTCTTCTGCCAGGCTCCCAGTTGTGTAGAGACTACCACACAATTTAGAGGGCCACGGGCACATCTCACACAGAATGCTAACATTTCATCTCTGATCTACCCACGCAGAAAGTCACTGTCCAATCTCAAACCATCATCCTACTGAAATCAGAGACAATGATCAAGTTTGTCTCTGTAAATGGAAATCAACTTTCCAACTTTGACCAGACGGAGCACCAAAAAGATTGTGTCTGTCAAAGCAGCTCGGTGGTTTCTTCCACACAACTGGCCTAATTTAGTTACTTGATATAAAATAGGAAAATATACTCAATTTGTATTTAAAAGAAAGTTGAAAATATGCTGTCTCTCAATCTTATATAATATACAATATGCTCCTGATACATGTCATCATGATAGCAGTAAAAAGCTCAGAGTTCCACTATCAGCTAATTCATCTATCACCAGACAAAATAAACCTAACAATTTCAACTGAATGAATCACTCTTTGACTCCTGAAGAATTTAGATAATGGAACAATAAAGGCTCTCAACATTTTATTTGTAATACTTTTGCAGACTGTTGAATCGTGGTGACTATAAAGATTTCATCAAGGTGTGGTGACTTTTAGGAATGGAAAAATAAATTATCAGCCACAGTTTAAAAAACACTCAATATCCCGGTAAGTATGAAACAAAAGAGAATGCACATTTCGTGTTCATTTTAATGATAAAAAAGGGCACAGGAGAAAAAACCTGGTATTTCACTTCTATTGCATAACAAGCTAGCCAAACTGGACATGGAGGATAAATTATAAAACAAATCATTTTACGTCTTTTTCTATGACTTTTCTTCAATTAGACTTCTGTATTTCAAATAAGGCTGAGGTATAGTACACTGGCAAAAATATAGGAGGCAAACAAGAACAGTGCCAAAGTAACAGATACCAGAACCAAACCCATGTCAGAAAACATCATGTAGTAACCATTTATCTAGCGGATTAGAGCAGCAGGAGAAAGTCACTTCTAAGTCATAATCACTTTAGTGGTATTTGTCAGCTTCACCATGGTAACTTCGCAACATCATTCTTCATTTGTGAAGTAGTAAAATTCATGTCAAAAAAGGGAGGGAGGACGGGGAGTCAGTTCATTCCAATAAATTACCTCTCCAGTTCTTATAAACATACGCCTATCAGCACAAAATTAAGAAATAATATCTAAGACTAGAAGAGACTTGGTTTAAGTTATGAAGCAAATAAAATGAAAAAAAAATACAAGAAAATAGAACCAATGGGGTTGAAAAAGCCCCTCACTGAAAATCTGTATTAAAAAAAATAAAATTAATAAAATAAAAATAGAAACAAAACTCTACTAGTACAAACTAGCCTGAGTGGTTTGATTGACAGAGTGATTGGGTCAACTGTCACTGTACTTCCATAAGTGAATTTTCTTCATTCATGTTAAAGTGGCACATGAATGTAAGCTCTAGAAAGGACAAGTATTATATTTTCATAGAACCCAAATAGTTAACTGTATATCCTATAAATAAAAAATATTTTACTTTGATAACTGACTGAATATGTGGGGACTCCATGTATCCAACCACATGGTTGTTTGCTGTACAGTCCTGTGCAAATATAAAAAAAAATTTTTTTTGCTATAAGGCTTTAACCCTACAGTTTTTCACAGCAACATAACTACCATCCAGCATGTACCATATTTTGCAAGCCTTCAAGTTCAACAATCCAAATTGTCGATTCATAGTATGTCCAAATGCAGCATTCTTGAGGAATATAGTAGGTCAGTTAATCATCCAGAGACATACACACATCTCCTGATTCGTCCCATCGAGATGCATCATTCTGATCTTCTCCATTCTCAGGCAGCTCTTCATCGGGCTCTCCACCTTCATTCTCCTCGTACTCTTCATCCCGAGGGAACTCTGTATCCTGTCCCTGATCTACACCTTCTTGCCCTGCTGGCTGTGACTTATCTGCACAGTCCATACACACTCCATAGCGTCGAGATCCATGTCTTATTCCAACACTGGCTGCTAACATGAAGATCTTCTTACACACCATGCATTTGTATTTTTTATCCTTTTTATGCACCTAATTGAAGGGAGAAAAATCCAAAATAAGGATAGTACAGATAAAGAACACATTTGAGCCGTTCAAATTAAGTCCTACACTTAGTAATGAATGGATAGCTAGTTAATATTTTCTAGATGAAGTACAATATCAGCTCAAAAATAATTCTGTTCAAAGCAACTTAACCATACTTCTTTAAATTTGCAAATAAAATGCTTGAAACATCACTGGCATAAAAACCCTTATCTCTATGATTAGCACTGAGTTTAAGGTCACTTACCAGGGAATGTCTTTTTACATGTTCTCTTCTAGTAAACAGCTTTCCACAAATGTCACAGCTAAACGATCTTACTCCAGTATGAATGAGCAAGTGCCTTTTTAGTGTTCGTCTGTATTTGGCTACATAGCTACAATGAGGGCATTTTAACTTGTTCATGATTAGAGATGAGTCACCTTAAAGGAAAAAAGGTACTGTTTAATATAAATAGATCATTAAGCAGAAACCTTCTATCAATACTTCTATGTCCAGCCATAAGAATAGCAACTGTTAACCCAGCTACTTATTTTTTAAAACTCAGAATACAGAAGCTTTTAATTAAAATTTAGAATTTTGACTTATATTTGTTGATAATACTTGCCATTTTCCCACGTTTCTTGTTTGGACCAAGATTCTGGCAATAATCCATACTTGAAATCATTTGAAGCACCCGGTAGCAATCCATATTTGAAGTCATTTGAAGTACTTGGTAGCAACCCATACTTGAAATCACTTGAAGTGCCAGGCATCAAACCATACTTGAAATCATGTGATGTTCCTAGGACAATTGAAAAGTGATTTTGAAGAAATGTTTGGGGAAAAAAGTCTGTTATCTCTTAATTAGAGCCCGAGAAAATAAAATGCAATTATAAGAACAATGATAATGATCTAATTACTATACCATGTGCTGGCTCTCACCTGTGCTCCTAGCACTTGGGAGGTTGGGACAGGCCAGGAGTTCAGGGCCAACCTTAGATACACTATGAATTTGGAGTCAGATATGGCCACATAGAATATCCTGTCTCAAAAACTACCCAATTCCCTCACTCTGTCTTCACTCCAAAACCTAAATAAAAATACCAGATCCTAGATTCAATTCCCATACTGTAACAATGTAAATACAATTCTTGAATCTCCAAAAGTGTGAGCTTAACAACAAAAGCCTAGTCTATAGTAACAAAACCAGGCAAATACACAGTCAGGAATTATCTCTTCCTGGATTCAATTCCATTTTACACACACACACACACACACACACACACACACACACCATTTATTGGGTCAAAAAATGTTTTTCTGTATGTAAGTATACAGATTCATCAGTTTTTGGCATTCGATCCCATCAACCATCAATTCTAATATGTGGGTTCTTTTTCAGTGGCTGTCAACTTGCTACTCAGTTCCCACTCAGTCACAATAATTCCATTTCCCCTCTTTGACAGATGGTCTTATGCAGTCCAGGCTGGCCTTGAACTTGCTATATAGCTGAGAACAACCTTCAACTCAGCACCCTCTTGCCTTCACTTCCCAGATGCACCACCACACCTGCCAGAGATTCTTTTTTAGACAATAAAATCACAATACTGGGGAGGCTGAGGCAAGATGACACAAAGTGAGACTAGGTAAGAAATAGGACCCTGTTTCAAAAAAACAAACTAATTCAGAACTGCTGTGGGATGTTCTATATGTCAAATATGTTGCTGATTGGTCAATAAATAAAACACTGATTGGCCATTGGCTAGGCAGGAAGTATAGGCGGGACAAGGAGGAGAATAAAGCTGGGAAGTGGAAGTCTGAGTCAGAGAGACACTGCCAGCCGCCATGATGACAAACAGCATGTGAAGATGCCGGTAAGCCACGAGCCATGTGGCAAGGTATAGATTAATGGAAATGGATTAATTTAAGCTGTAAGAACAGTTAGCAAGAAGCCTGCCACGGCCATACAGTTTGTAACCAATATAAGTCTCTGTGTTTACTTGTTTGGGTCTGACGGCTATGGGACTGGCAGGTGAGAGAGATTTGTCCTGACCGTGGACCAGGCAGGAAAACTCTAGCTACAAATGGCGTCCAATGTGGTGGCAAGAGTTTCCACCTAAAAACTGAGAAAAAAAAAAGATTCTAAAACGGAGCTAAAAACAGCTTCCTAATTGTCTCTCTCAAATGAGCGGCAGCTGCCGGTTTGAGCTACTTGTGGGTTCCTAGAGTGCATGCTCAACCTGTAGTATGGCGGGAATGAGGCCTCTGCAAGTGGCACATTAAGCTGTGTGGTGGATTTAGCCTTTGCTAGTACAAAACAGAAAAAGAGGTTTCTGGGCTATACGCTGCTTGGATAAAAGCATAGACCCACGATAGCTCCCAGAGCTGGTGGTAAACCACCACCAATTTGGGAAGCTGAGGTGGGCAGAACCAGCAGCCATAGTGCCGGTTTCAGTCTTACAAATGCTGCAGTTTAAAGCAATAGATTCACAATAAGACAGATTCAGATATAATAGTTTAAATGTGTGTAAAATATACGTAGGCTTGAAAGAGACAAAAAAGGTGATATATACAGTTATAGAAACAAATACATAGTTTTAAAAAATAAAGTCTTTAAAGAGCCAGTAAAATTAATATAAAAATAAGCCACGTAAAGATGAATATCACACAGAGAATCTGGATTGTGTTGTCTTTGGGATTTTTAACTGCAGAAAAACATTTGATTGTAAAAGCTGTTGAGTTATGCCAAAATGTATATTTTAAAGGTACCTTGACTTCAAAATTTGGATGTAAGGATGTGTTGCTTTGGAAAGGAAACTCTGCTTTTGTTCCCACAGAACGCCAAAGGCTATGGATTTGTTCCAGATTAAGATACATCAGGTTTGACCAGCCAAGACCCCCTGAAAGGTCTCTGATGACACCATGGCCCAGATGATCCAACATCCAGAACGGTTTGAAGGCAACTGGCTCAGACATTACAGCCTCATGAACTATTCCATAATCCTAAAATTTTCTTTGCATCCCCATAAGATACAGCGCCCCCCTCCAGCAGGAAGTAGTAAGAGAAGCTACGCCCAAATTCCCAAATTATATGTAATTTTACTTTGTTAAGGTTAAAACCTTCCTTTTTGAAAAATTTTTAAAAAAAGGGGAAGTGCTGTGGGATGTTCTATATGTCAAATATGTTGCTGATTGGTCAATAAATAAAACACTGATTGGCCACTGGCTAGGCAGGAAGTATAGGCGGGACAAGGAGGAGAATAAAGCTGGGAAGTGAAAGGCTGAGTCAGAGAGACACTGCCCACCGCCATGATGACAAACAGCATGTGAAGATGCCGGTAAGCCACGAGCCATGTGGCAAGGTATAGATTAATGGAAATGGATTAATTTAAGCTGTAAGAACAGTTAGCAAGAAGCCTGCCACGGCCATACAGTTTGTAACCAATATAAGTCTCTGTGTTTACTTGTTTGGGTCTGACGGCTGTGGGACTGGCAGGTGAGAGAGATTTGTCCTGACTGTGGGCCAGGCAGGAAAACTCTAGCTACACAGAACCTGTCAGGCTGCAAAAATCAAGGGCTACCCACCTAACTCACAGTGAAAAGTCTACGCTTTCAATAAGGGATCAAAGACTAACCTGATGGAGCCCTTCCTCCAGGCTTGAGGAATATAGTAGGTCAGTTAACCATCCAGAGACATACAAACACCTCCTGATTCAGCCCTTTGGGCTGCTCCATTCCAAAGTAAAGACCTCTGGGAAGTTTCTCCATGCATGGTAAACAGACTCCCATTGCAAGGCACTTGTAACTGACTTCCCTGACACACCCCCTTTCAATATAGAGGTGTGCAGAACTAATACAGGTAGAACAAAGCTAATCTATAAAAACCCACAATCTCAAATGCTCACACATCTAGAATGTTTTTAGAATAGCATGTTGTGCTCAAAAAACCTTCAGACTTTGGAGCCTTTTCAAGTTTTTAGATGAGGGACGTCAACTTCTATTGCAGCTCCTCCTCTCGGTACTGAGTTAGCCATGCAAAATGTCAAATTCTGAAAGACTCCAACATTTTAAACACATCGGGTCCCAAGCACTTCTGATAATTTTTTTCCCATAAACTCCTTTAGTTTTCACAAACCAGCTAAATTTCCATTTACCTGAAATATTGTCCCCTTTTAAAAATTAGAGTAAATGTATTTTCTTTGGTAAAAGAATATATAAGGAAGTTAAAAAGATCTCTGTGGGATGTTTTTCTAAAATATACTTCATTACCATTATATGAACTGTCTTGAATATATTTATTTATTAGTCTTTTTTTTTTAATTCAAGAAAGCCCTCTGAGGCTATAATTGTAAGTACAACGCTGTTGGTTAAAAAAAAAAAAAGTTTCACAATTGTAAAGTGAAAACATCTGCAAACATATGGGACAGGGAGGGAAGGGGGGCAGCCTAGAGCAGTCAGCCTTTCCATTTCTACTTCTGCATTTCTAGTTGAGTTTGGGCTTTACGATTCCTATTTCTTCAATAACTGAGGACAAAACAAATTAAAGTTACTCGAGGACAGCGAGACCTGTCTTACCTTTGTGCTTCTAATTAATGTCCAAAACATACATGACTTTTACTTATTTGTTGAATAAATGTATTTAGGAAAGCTAACATGTACCGGATTTTTTTGACTTGTTCAAAATACTTCAAAAATTGACCTCAGATTAGATTCATTAATATATTCAGATAAATAATACTGTCTACATACAGACAGAAAATATTAAGAACAATTAATAAACTGACCATGCATGATTTAGAATTAGATTTTTTAAAAAAAAACTTCAAATTCCATGTTTCTCTGTATAGGCCATTCACAATAACAGGTAAAAATACACGATTAGTCAGAGAGACGGCTCAGTGGGCAGGGTCACTTGCTGCCAAGCCTGGTCATCTGACTAACCCCTGGGACCCACATGATGGAGAAAGTCAACTCTCGGCTCTCTTCCAATCTCAGTGACACAGTGTGTATACACAAATAAAGAATTTTTTTAAACTTTAAAAAGAAACCCTAACCCTAAATTTCATAGAAGTCTTCTAGTTCTTAGTATCAGTAGAGATGACTTGAAGAAATTATGAGGAGCTGAGTAACGGCATAGCATTGTGATTCAGCATACCTAAGAGGCATTAGTGTCTATTTCCAGAGTGTGATTAATGTTCACTAATGTCTTTGCTATATACTCCACAGATTCAGAGAACGCCCAGTTTGAGATCATACTCATAAAGCAAGGGCTGCCCTATGGTACAACTACTAAGGGATCACAGGAGAGCCAGCACTGGATTAGCATGTGTCAGACCTGGGGGCATGGAGGGGAAATTAGGAATCAAAATGTCCCCTTAAGGGAAATGACCCTAAACCCAAGATTTACTCTTAAAAATTAAACAATAAAATGGCTCGTGCTGCTTCGGCAGCACATATACTAAAATTGGAATGATACAGAGAAAATTAGCATGAACCCTGCGCAAGGATGACACGCAAATTCGTGAAGGTTCCATATTTTTAAAGTAAAAATAAGAAAATAAATAAATAAGATGGCTCATTTTCCACAGAAAGCTGTTTATGTGTATTGTTTTACAGTTTTATATTCTTGGACCCAATTCCTAAACCAAATAATTGGGTTCTATAAATACCTTTAAGCCAGTAGTCATTCTCTGTACAAACAATAAATAATTATTTTTAAAAAATCTTCAGAATTCTATCTTGCTCAAAAGAATCCAAAGGCATGCAGGACTTGGTAGCACATGCCTTTACTTCCAGCACTTGGGGGGTAGGGGCAGAAAGATCTGAGTCCCAGGCCGGCCAGGGCTATACACTATGAACCTGTCTCAAGCAAAAAAACCAAAAAGGTGTATCTCAGAAGTACGGGGCGTGGCTGGCATAGTCAAGGCCTTATGTTTGATTTCCAGCACCTAAAAGGGAGTGGCAGGAGCCAGTGACAACGTTTTACAAGCAATGCCACCTGTTCTTCCACCGTTCATTTTAAAAAGGAGTTCAAGTACAAAGTTGAAGTTACAGCTACATCTCACCTTTAAGTGTTAATTTCGCCACATTTTTCCTGTGTATAACATTTTATGTGCCATTGTAACATGTACTTTTTGCTTTATGCCTAAATACTATGTGTTTGTATATATAATTCTAGAAACATTCTCCTAACAAAACCATGATGCACACAATTTAAAACTGAATATTGCTAACAAATAATACATATCTACATTTCCAACTATTTCCAAAATGCCCTCTACCCTTATTCCTAAAAGGGCAAAAGCCCATGATCTAATCAAGACCCATGCTGCATGGAGTTTAGCCTCCTTACATCTAGCAGTTCCTTGTGTGTCTCTGTCGTTCCAGCCATTAGAGCTTGGACTGCCTGCTGTGTCTTTAAATTTTCTCCTTATAGATAAGATTCAAGCTAAACACTGTTCAAAAAGATACTACCTAGGTAGTGCTGTGTGCCCAAAATGTATCACACATCAGTGGGCTCTGTCCTTTCATTAAGGTGTTTTTAATGACAGTAATTAAATGTAAACTGTACAATGACAGTTGGTTGTATTAATGCTCCTCAGATCTCTTTAAGGTATAGATAACCTCTTCCTTCTTGGTAAGGCAGGCATACACACACACACACACACACAAATAAAATGCAATAATTAAAAAAAGGTTTCCACAAAGTATAACTATTTAAAATTTATCAACATTTCTCTTAAATTCATTTTTACGATTTTTTAATTGTGTCTGCATGTATGTGTGACATGAATGCAGGTACTCCTGAACGCCATGTGTCAGATCTCCAACTCCCAATTGGAATTACAGATGTTGGTGAGCCACTGGATGTGGGTACTAGGAATCAGTGTTCTTAACTGCTGAGCTATCTCTACAGTCCTTTTCAACATTTTCTATAGCTATCAATCAATGATCACAATTATTTTACAAAACTAATTAAAATACACTAGTCAACTATTGTGATAATTACCCTTTTAGTTCCATCAACAAGCTGGCAGGAAGCTATAAACTCATTAAACTGCCCAATATTTAAAAGTTTAAAATACCGATGAAGTCCCCTCAAACAAAACCAAAAATACCAGTTTGCATTTACCAAGTTCCTAAAGTCCTCACAAACGTAACTAACCTCAGACTGGTCTCTAACTGGAAGCATTTGCACACAAGTAGCCATGAACCTACAGCAGACTCCAGTGAACATGTAAACATAGCACTCCACACTCTTCAGATCCTCTCAGACTCCTTACTGAAAATCTCACTGTACCTACCAGCATCTCCTGAATCTTGTCCACTGCAGGCCTCGGCCAGTAAATTTGTGTTCACGGTCCTATCGCCATCAGGCCCCGAGAGCAGTGCACCGTCTAAATCTGAAAATGACACAGTAAGTTTATTTACAAAGCACACTAAAACCATCCACCCAAGAACACCAGTTTCTTCCTAGATCTCTTGTATTTATGATGCAGGCCAGTTGAGAGGCCTTCCAGTATTGGGTATCCACCACATGTTCAACACTATAAGCCACAGAGACATAGTTACATCAGTACAAACACATGTAATAAAGTCCAGGTGATGCGAAGACCACAACTTTTCCTGTGCAGCAAACTCTTACAAGTCATCTCACCAGCCCTGATATTTCTGACTTGGTATTAATTGTGAAAACTGTGCTAATCTGTGAAAATACCTTTAATTAAATGCTTTTATTTTAAATGTTTTGTGTGATGCTGAGTACTCAACCAAGGCTCTGAACATTCTAAACATCCTAGATAATACTACCCTCTTTAAAATATAGTCGTGTAGGATGAGATCGAAGAATATACCAAGAACTATGAAGGTTTACTTATTTTACTTTGTGTATGAATATAATGCCTGAAAGCATGTATGTGCACCATTGTGCGTAGCTTGTCTGAGCTCCTGGAACTGGGGTTATTATAGATGGCTGTAAGTCACACGATGTGGGTGCTAGGAATTGAACCTGGGTCCTCTGCAAGAGCAAGCACAGCTCTTAATTGCTGAGCCATCTTTTTAAGCATAATTTATGAATTTCAGTGAAAATAGTTTTCAATCATAAAAACATGTGCAACTGGTTAGGAATGGGGTTTAAAGAATCAAGGTGTCTCAGGTAGTAACCCTAGTTGTTAATTGGCCTTGTTTCTGCTTTTACATTCATCATATCAAGAGTTAATATAGGAAGTTTAGTTGAATAATGCAAGCCAAATGTTATCATCAGGTGCCTAACTGACACTCAACTGTTGCTGCTTGTCGTGTTAACTACAAATACTAAAAACAGACTGAAGTTGTTCTCTTATTGGTTCAGAAACAGAAGCAGTTAAAATACCAGGGGGAGATCTCATAGAAGCAGTTATTATCATTGTTGTTATTGTTGCTGTTGGCTAAGGGCTAATTTCATCTACTGGAAAGACAGAGAAGCAGCCCTTTATTAAAGCCGTGGTGATGACGACGTGCCCTTTTCACTGGAATTTGCTATAAATCTGTTGAATCCTACTGACCTCACTCCTCTCATGCTAACGAAATGAGGTCTTCCTATCTCCTTGCTGGCTAAATAGAGATCTTTCTGAAACGTATCTTTAATTTTTCAATGGTTTACTATAGCTTTTAGGATGATTTTTACGCGTTTTAGTTTAGCGTGACTTTACTATACTAGGATGATGCCCATGTTATTAAACCCCTACTCAACTGAGTTAGTATCTGAATACATTTTAAAACGCTTCCTTTGTGAACTATACAGCTCCTTGCCTCAAGACTTCCTTGGTATGATCATCCTTGACTGCTCTGGATCCCCCAAAGCAAACAAAAAATACAAAAAAACAAACAAACAAAAAAAAAAACCACCCCTCTGTAAAGTAGATATTTAACTGAAAAGTCCTGACAGTAAGTAAACTGCTACATATTCATTCATACAACGACAGCACGAATCCAGTGCACAAGTATGAAGAGCCGATTACTGAAATCCTAAGAAAGTAGTACTGGCACACGACTGTGAACTAACTAGTGGTGTAAAATAATGGTTGAGAACAGGCCGTGCTAAGGGCTTTATTTATTTTTAAAGGGGATAGAAGTAGTTTAAATAGGAAATAGCTTTTATCTGCATCCTAACAAGTGATTTCATGTTGTTATGAATGAATAAAATGAGTGTGAGAGGAGATGGAGATACCATTACAAAGTAATCCTAGGCTGCAGGCTACAGCACTTGCTGCCCAGTGTCTGCCCGTTGCAGGAGTGAGGCAGGCACAGAAGAGGGAGAGAGGAAAGGGCAGGCAGAAAGCAGTTCTCAGTAACCCAAGCTGAGGGCTGGGTGTGATAAAAGCAAGGGAGAAAGTGAGAACATTTGACACAAGGGGTGGTTGCAGAATCACACTGTTGGAGAAGTTAGTTTCTAATGGCAGCAAAAGAAACCAGGAGGTGGAACAGGGAGGGTACAGAGTGACGTTTAGTCACGAGCACCGAGTCTCACACACCTGAGAAGTACCGTGGTTGGCATCAGGATGTTTGGTTAAAAGGTAGGCTTGCTTCTACCTGGTACTGAACCCCAACTCTTCCACTTCCCTCAACAGGTCATTCTGCTTTCTTAATGTACGGGTTCTTAAAGACCATACACCAGCATCAACAGGGATCTACACAAACACACACAAACACACACAAACACACACAAACACACACACACACACACACACACAAAGCAAATTCTCAGGTTGACCCTTTGGATTTATGGCAGTAATCTGTATTGTAACAAGTCATCTAAGGAATTCTATCTAAAAATTAAAGATAGATTTTCCATGACAATTTTTTGTAAAAATGAGAGTTTAAGGTTCAAATGCCATTTAATGCTCATTATTATTATTATTATTATTATTATTATTATTATTATTATTATTCCATTTGTTTCCAAGTACAGAAATTAAGTAATGAAGACTGTATGTAGATCTGGTGCTTGGGCTGCAAACAAAATGGTCTGAGTTGTCAGATAATGAGAAACAATATCAGCAAAAAATAAGACCATGAAAAAAGGCCAAGAGTATGAAAGGACCTCAGAATTATTTTTACCTCATTCACAAAGTATCTATAACACTCTTAGGATAATACTTGAAAGGTTAACAAAGGCGATTGGAAAGAAGAATGGCCTGTGCTGGGAATAAAAGAATTGGGGGATATTTTAAGAAATTTGACTATAAGATGGAAGAATGAAAAATAGAGTAATAATTATTTTAAAGGAGTAAAAGTAAACATCTTTAAATGCTGCCAGAAGTCACTGAAAGACGTGAAGGACACTGAACATATATCAACAAAGAGAAAGAATATTTTTAAGAATCCAGAACTTGGAGCTGGAGAGATGGCTCAGCGGCTAAGAACACAGGCTGTTCTTCCAGAGGATCTAAGTTTAATTCCCAGCAAACACATGGTGGCTCACAACCATCTATAGTGGGATCTGATGCCCTCTTCTGTAATGCAGGCAAACATGCAGATAGCGCACTCATGGACATAAAATACATAAAATAAATAAACCTTTTAAAAAAGATTCTACAACTTCAGGTTGGAATATTAGAGAAAACAGTGCTGAGTGTGCTAGGCTCACACCAGTAATTCCACACACATACCTCTCTCTCTCTACTAACACACATATACACACACATATACACACGGGGGGGGGGGGGGGGGGGGGGGGGGGGGGGGGGGGGGGGCCCGCGGGCGCGGGAATATAGAGAGATCTAAAGTCAGAGTTTAGACACATTTCAAGAATGTTAGTAGTATCTGTTTTCTCTGTAGGATGCACATGTGATTATTAGCTAGAGTAACTGGGGAATACCAGCGGCTCACTTGGAATGAATGCCCTCGATAAACTCCTTGAGAGCAAGGTCTGTAATGTTTTCCCAGGATTTATTATACAGTGCATGACAAATAAAAGGATTTTAAAATATTCTTAAATATCAGTTAGAATAAGTCTGATCTTTGCAACCTAATGGTAGTAATTCTAGTAACTACACTAAAACATCCTCAAACTGACAATATCTACCCAGAATTTAGTGGTTTTTGCTTTCTTAAGAAGTATATTAACTCATCAAAAAGTAAATTTAAACATTATCCAAGCTACTACTTTCCTCAGTGTTGGGGAAGGTCATTACTCTTTTGTTTTGAGACAGTGTCTCACTATGTAGCCCTGGCTGACATCGATCGAACCCAGAGGAGCTTCTGCTTTTCAACTGTTAGGATTAAACAAAGGTTGTGCTACCATGCCCTGCTGAGAAGTCATTTCTTAAGTGTTCAGACCACCTCTTATGGCAGTTTCTGTCAAGGTGGTTTCTAATACAGGGATGTTCTGTCCCTGAATTATTCCACTATAGTGATTTGCTGCAGGCATCCTCAACCAGCTGGCCTCATTCATGATCTCAGGTATGAACTAGTTCTTTAAATGAGGCACTTCCTATCTCCTACCCTAAAGTATTACATTTAACTTGTGGGGTCTCCTGCTGTAGGCCAATGGAGAGCACCTGACTAGTATGCATGAACCCCTGGGTTCAATGCTCAGCACTGCAAAAAATGGAATCTTCAAGCCCTGATCTTAATCCTACATGGATACTAAGTACAGAATTTCTCATCCAAAATCAATACACTGTTTCCCTTCACAACTCAAAAGTACACTATGGGATAGTTATTAAGCTATATCTCTTGAAGGGACCAACTACTTGGTTCTTGATATCAAAATCAAATCTCAATGAGTGAGTTTTCCCAGCTGATAATAAGCTTTCACAGTAGGGTACTTTACTTAGGAATTGGTCTTCTTCATTAGGGGGCGTAACACTAACTCTTGGGCTGGAGAGATTGGTTTAACAGTCAAGAGCACTGGCTGCACTTCCAAATGTCCTAAGTTTGATTCCCGGCACCCACAGGGCAGCTCACAACTGTCTGTATCTCCAGTTCTAGGGGAGCTGACACCCTAGCTTCGGCCTACACCAGGCAAGTAAGTGGTGCAGACACACATGCAGGCAAAATCTGCATGCATACACACACACATGCATACACACACACACACACACACACACACACACACACACACACACACACACAATCAAACAAACAAAAAGCAAAGCTAACTCTAAACCATCTTTTTCTCTAAAATTAAGATTAGAAAATAAACTCTTGGGTATCTGTTTCTCCCTTCATTGCTCCCCAAAAGATGAAGGGGTATCCTGTGAGATGGCTTAGCAGGTAAGGGTGCCTGACCCCAAATCTGAGGACCCAAAATCTGTATCTAAGAGGTAACTAACTTAGTTATGCCCTCATCTCCAAATGAGGGCCCACATACGCACATATACACAATAAACACGGCACACGTTTATAATACCAGCTAATC